AACATTAAGGCATCTCATCAGGAGGTTTTGAAGAGCGTGGAACCACCTCTTAATTGCTGGTGTTCCCAGGTCAACACTGATCCTGGGTGGTAGAACCTGTTAGGGTCCCAGCTGTGGGCAAATAGTTAAACATCCTACTCGAGTCAAAACAATATGAAAGTGCAAAAATAGGTTTTGATAGCAGAAATACTTTGTAAAAAATATTATTACCAGCAATACATTTTTTGAAAAAAAATATTACCAGGGAAGAACAATTTTTATCAGAAATAGATATTTGAAGGAAAAAATATTACCAGAAATAGATTTTTGGAAAAAAAAGTATTACCAACAATGAAAATGTCGGCATTAAACAACACATTGAGGTTGATATACCGGAAAACAAAATAAACCAATCTAAACCAAAGAATGCATATTCTATTCATACGAATCTATCCTAAAAATGTTGTCGGCATTAAATAACCCATTGAGGTTGATATGCCGTAAAACAAAATAAACCAAACCAATCTAAACCAAGGAATACATATTCTATTCATACGAATCTATCCTTAAAATGTTGTCGGCATTAAATAACCCATTGAGGTTGATATGCCGTTAAACAAAATAAACCAAACTAATCTAAACCAAAGAATACATATTCTATTCATACGAATCTATCCTAAAAATGTTGTCGGCATTAAATAACCCATTGAGGTTGATATGCCGTAAAACAAAATAAACCAAACCAATCTAAACCAAGAAATACATATTCTATTCATACGAATCTATCCTTAAAATGTTGTCGGCATTAAATAACCCATTGAGGTTGATATGCCGTTAAACAAAATAAACCAAACTAATCTAAACCAAAGAATACATATTCTATTCATACGAATCTATCCTAAAAATGTCGGCATTAAATGACCCATTGAGGTTGATATGCCGAAAAAGACAACAAAATAAACAGACATAGTTAAAATCCCTAGGGCACCTAACGAGGAAAGCAGGCTTGGAAAATTTGATACCCCCAGGATAGATTGAAGTCAAGGAGATAATGCATAAGCTATCTAGCGAGCATGAGTAAATGGATAGCGAAACTATTTATTAAGAGCTACAAAGGAAATAATGTTGTGGAGAGCCATGTTCGCCAACGTCCCGAAAGCAAGAACATAGAAGAAATGAATTAAGCATGACGAAATATTTAGATAAGAATTTTTTTTTTTTAAGCAGTTCATCACAAGCAAGGCGGGAGTGTCCCTAGCACGCAAAGGGTTACAGAGGATTGAGAACAAGAGTAAAGAGGCGTGTTTGAGGAAAGGATACAGAGAAGGACAAACTCAGAGTGTCAGATGTCGATTGATATTACTCTTGAATATTTGAAGATTATAGTCATCAGGGAAGCAAGTAAGGGGAAGGGAGTTCCACAGACGGGAAGTGCAAGAGAAGAAGCTGTTTGAGTAGAAGAGACGGTTACATTTAACCGATTTGACAGTGAGAGGGTGGGACCAAGCTGCCAGCCTGGTAGCTCGTTTAAATTCATGCAGTTTGGAAACCAGCGAAAGTAGCTTGTCAGAACGGTTGCTGTGAAAATAATTGTAGAAGAGACAGATGGAAAAATCACGAGAAAATAACGGAATCTTTATAATATATATTTTTAGAAATGTTTTGGGCAATTGTCTCCATACTTGTGCATTGAACTACTCTCCTGCTGTGAGAACCAGCAGAAAGACAGCCATCATTAATTGAGCTAATACTTCGACTCCATCTCAGATATTTCCTGCTAGAACCTCTCACCATTCTCAGCGCTGAAGGCATCCAGGAACCGTTGAAGAGAATATCTCGATGATAATGCAAAACATACATTTTAAAGAGACATCCGACACCTTTGATACGCCATGAATGTATCGATTATTAAATCAACAATTCTTTTCAGCTCTTAGAAATAATAGATTTTTTTTTACTATAAACAATAATATGCTGTCAACTCGAATGAATAGTAATCGAAGCAAAAGTTCGTAGCTATTTTTAAGTGTATTTCAAAGACAATATTCAAATATATTGTACATATACACCATTTTGCTTCCACTACATTTCATCATATTTAAAGCCTGCGTCCTGATTTGATCGCCCCAGACCTTAAAATTCTTTTAATCGTTTCACCTCAAGCAACAAGACAATGCCATTGTTATAGCTATGCTATTATACATCGGAAACTATTTTATTAGCACTAGCACTCAATGTGTCTTATTATCGTACTAGACTGGCGTCGAGATCTCATCAATTTACAGTTGAGCTACCTAGATATAGCCGTAAATTCTATGTTAACAGTTTCTTCTATCGCTCGTGGTACTTCCTTCCGGCTCCATACTTTCCAGTAAATTTTAATCTACATAAATATAAATGCATTTTCAATCGCTATTTACTGTCCTCCTGATTGCTCTTGCCTCTTCCCGCTCATTATTAATGTTTCTGTTCCTAATTTTTCCACAACCTGTAATTCCCTGTGTCTTAGTGTCTTTACTGACTTCCATGAGGTGATACCTATTATATATATATATATATATATATATATATATATATATATATATATATATATATTTAGTTTAGGAAAAACTAGGTAATCCGTATCGGTAAACCTAAGGAGGATAAAATCCAGAGAGCTCAATGTAAATCCAGAGCAAATAATTTAAATAAAAACAGACCACTTTAAGGTTCCATGTCATAAATTATTTCACCACAGCCCTTTTAAAGGACTGCGGATCACCAGACTTTACTTCCAAACAAAAAATGAAAAGAAAAATTACACAATTTTGACTGGCCGTATTAAACATATGTAAATTAATGAAGTGAGGAAGTGAGTGGGGAGAGAGAAGACATGAGTGAGTTAGCAGATATTGACACATTTAAACATGTCTTCTCTCTCCCCCCCCACTTCGTTAATTTACATATGTTTAATACGGCCCGTCAAAAATGTGTAAATTTTCTTTTCATTTTTTATTTGGAAGTAAAGTCTGATGATCCGCAGTCCTTTAAAAGGGATGTGGGAAATAATTTATTACATGGAAAGTGAAAGTGGTCTGTTTTATTTAAATCTTATATATATATATATATATATATATATATATATATATATATATATATATATATTAGTTTATGCAAATTTGAGGGGTAGTTTAAGTTGATGCAAGGTATTATAGAGAGAGGTGGAGGAGGAGTATGGCAGACACGGTCGAAATTAGAGAGGGAAGAGAGAGATAGGAATAATTTTCAACCTATTTTTATTAAAATACTTAAGAGTAAGCAAGGTGGGTAAAGACTGGACATTGACCTATTTGATAAGTCATCTCACAGGAAACGAGATAACGAGAAAAAAAGGGAAGTAAAGATATAAGAAAGCAGAAGTGGAAGCAGGGGGTGTGAGGAAAGAAAAAGAAATAGAAAATGCTGAAAGAAAAAAGAAGAATAAATTAACATATATGGACATATTGCGGTTAATTTGGAAAAAGCACAGATTTATATATTTGACAGTTAACTTTTGACATTAATTTAAGTATTTAATATTTTTCAACAAAATAAACTAGGAAATAAATATAATCTGAATATAAAATAAATAAACAAAAATATTAATATTATTAACATTATTAATATTATGAATGACAATTAAGGAGTAAAAAGGTTTTAATTAAAACATAAAGTTTATATATATTTATATTCTGTGTGCATGTTCTAAATTGTAGAGGCAGAAGAATTCTAAGCTGTGCTGGATGGGAGTAATAGAAACTCCATGCTGAATTTCCTTTAAAATACGTTCCAACCTGTTTCAAAGAATATGAGATTTAGGCTTGTTTTAAATTGCTTTATATGAAATGCTTCTATTTTCTTTTAAAATATTTTATAATTAGATGACAGTGCTATTTACAAAATTACTTATGGAAGCAAGGTGATGTATCTGAGTGTTTACGAGTTTCCTTATCAAACTAAGATCACTTCAGTTAGTTAGCAGTCACTGACTGGAAGATGTTATCATTTGGCCATCGTTGTAATTGACGTGTTATTAATTACAAAATCACAATAAGCGAAATTTAAAAAAAAACTACAATAATGGCCGAAAGTTTGTATATCAGAAGCGTATTAATATTGGTAATTATCAGGTTTACACTTTTTAAATTCATAACAATATGTTATTTAAAATGTTCTATATTCATCGCGGGAAGTGCACAATATCGGAGATGGAATGACAGTAGATGTAGAAAATGAGGACACAGTAATCAGCAGTGTATAGTGAGAGTCCGTTTCAAGTTTCAATTCGATCTTCAGATTAATTAAGTTCAAACGGCCTTATCGGCGTGTAAAGTGGCATTCGTGAATTCCAGAACAGGACACCAAACGATTAATCCGTTACTCGTTGATTAACGAAGTTGTCATTTTCGTTGGCGATTTGACTTTTATGTTAACTTTGAGAATCATCACATGTGAGCGCCGTTAATCAAGAAGTTAATCGCCAGTTCGTTAACCAAACAATTAACTTAGTTAACCCTTGATACGTTCGATCTTTAAAAATATAACGGAAGTTATCGCTAAACCGTCAACATTTCCTGCTGAGGTCTAGTGGGATTGTTAGTTTTAACTTCGACGACATCAACAGATTCAAGTTCTTGAGATGCCATGATGACGTTCAAGGTTGGCTTGTTGAATCGTTGTCGAACATGTTAACTTCGTTAATTAAAGCGATTAATGGTTTGGTGCCCAGCTCTGCAAACAACAATGGCGGTGAAAAAGTTCAAATCTTGCCTCGCAAATCCAAAAGGCAATGGAAGACGAGGAGTCTAGAAATCACAAGAACAACAGGCAAAATATAATAGGGGTAAAAAAAAAAAACGTAACCGGCGTGTAAAGTGGAATTAGTGAATTTAAGAGCTGGGCAACAAACCGTAATTTCGTTAATCGTTGATTAACGAAGTTGTCCTTTTTGTTGGCGATTTGACTTTGATGTTGAATTTGAGAATCATCAGTGGTGGGTACCGTTAATCAAAAACCATCGATTCGTAAACCATCGAATCGTAAACCATCGATTCTGTAACCATTGATTCTTTAACCATCAATTCGTAAACCATCAATTCATAAATCATCGATTCTTTAACCATCGATTCGTAAACCATCGAATCGTAAACCATCGATTCTGTAACCATCGATTTTTGAACCATCAATTCGTAAACCATCAATTCGTAAACCATCGATTCTTTAACCATCGATTCTTTAACCATCAATTCGTAAAGCATCGATTCTTTAACCATCAATTCGTAAGCCCTCGATTCGTAAACCATCGATTCTTTAACCATCGATTCGTAAACGATTGATTCTTTAACCATCGATTCTTTAACCATGGATTCGTAAACCATCGATTCGTAAACGATTGATTCTTTAACCATCGATTCTTTAACCATCGATTCTTTAACCATCGATTCGTAAACCATCGATTCTGTAACCATCAATTCGTAAAGCATCAATTCGTAAAGCATCGATTCTTTAACCATCAATTCGTAAGCCCTCGATTCGTAAACCATCGATTCTTTAACCATCGATTCTTTAACCATCGATTCGTAAACGATTGATTCTTTAACCATCGATTCTTTAACCATCGATTCGTAAACCATCGATTCGTAAACGATTGATTCTTTAACCATCGATTCTTTAACCATCAATTCGTAAACCATCAATTCGTAAACCATCGATTCTTTAACCATCGAATCTTTAACCATCAATTCGTAAACCATGATTCGTAAACCATCGATTCTGTAACCATCGATTCTTTAACCATCAATTCGTAAGCCATCGATTCTGTAACCATCAATTCGTAAGCCCTCGATTCGTAAACCATCGATTCTTTAACCATCGATTCGTAAACGATTGATTCTTTAACCATCGATTCTTTAACTATCGATTCCGTAACCATCGATTCTGTAACCATCAATTCGTAAACCATCGATTCGTAAACCATCAATTCGTTAACCAAAAAATTAACTTTGTTAACCGTTGATCCGTTCGCTCTTTAAAAATATAACGGAAGTTATCGCTAAACCGTTAACGTTAAGTTCTGATCCTGTTCCAGCTGAGGTTTAGTAGCATTGTCAGTTTTAATTTCGACGACATCAACAGATTCAAGTTCTTGAGATGCCATGATGACGTTCAAAGTGGTCGAAAATTTTAACTTCTTTAACGTTTGGGTGGCCAGCTCTGTATGCGATGAGGATATATACATTTTTATATAAATTATATATATAAAGAATAGTAGTGAAAGAAAAAGATGTATAACAAAAACTTTTTTAATTTGTCATACATCTCTCCATACATATATATATATATATATATATATATATATATATATATATATATATATATATTCATTTATTTTACGATATAACGCATGTCAAAATCGTTACATAATTGCAGTCGTTTTTCGATGCGTATCAATGCATCTCATCTTAACTGTATATATATATATATATATATATATATATATATATATATATATATATATTAAAAGAGATAATTATACATTGAATCAATTAGCAATATTAATGCGATTAATGACGGAATCTCTTCTCTAATAGACTTAATATAAGCATTAAACTACTAACAATCCACTGAATGATGCGATCCTTATGTATAAAATTGTTGTCAGATGGATCTAGTGTATTTTTTATAGAAGCAAGTACTTTCAAGGACTTCATGTCATCATCATCAGGCTGTAATTTTTTTCCTTTATAATCAAAACTTGAAGACGAAATAAATGTGTTGTAGACCGAAAGATGTTTTCTTTAAGAATGTGTTATTTATTAACGGTTGTACAATATTGGAACGTGTAAGTCGCAACGCTAAAATTCAAATATTTCAAGTGAGAATTTTTTATATGAATTTTGTAATTTGGTAAATCCATGAATTCTTTTGTTGCAAGTGTTTTCTAGTTAACGTGACATGAACTAAGTACATAGTTGAATTAATTAATAGAGTGATATGTCTTTCTGCTTTGTGGGAGAAGAACGATATTCTTTCGATGAAACTACGAACAGTAAGTATTTTAATATCAGTTATAAAGTAAATTTTATGCCATAAAATTATATATATATATATATATATATATATATATATATATATATATATATATATATATATTAAGCGTTACATCCCAACCAAGGCGAGAAGCCACTAGTACGCAAAGGGTTACAGAAAATTTGGAGCAAGATCAGATAGGAGTCATAGAAGAAAGGATGAGGAGAAGGGTAGTGGATAGATCAAGGCAACTGGAGATGTCAATTGACATTACATTTGGATAGTTGGAGATTATAGCTCTCAGGGAAACTGGAATAGGGAAGGGAGTTCCACAGGCGAGAGGTGCGAGGTTTGAAGCTATTGGAGTAGAAGAGACGGCTACATTTAGTAGTTTCGACAGTGAAAGGGTGAGAGCGGGATGCCAGCCTCGTAGGGCGCTTGAACTCATGAATTCTGGGAACCAGCGAATGCAACTCCTCGGAGCAATTACTATGAAAGTATTTGTAAAACAGACAGAGAGAGGCGACGGCGCGTCTGTGAGAAAGTGACTGTAGACGAGATGCCAGAACAGGGCCAATTATATTGCATATCCGCCTCTGGAGCCTATCAAGAACCCCGATGCAAACAGAAGGGGCTCCAGACCATATATGGCAGCAATACTCCATGCAAGGACGTATTGTTGATTTGTAGATCTGAAGGATTGATTCCGGGGAAAAAATTTCCTGGCGCGGCACAGGGAGCCAACTTTCCTTGCGGTGGACGAAGCAATTGACTCAATGTATTTATTCCATCTCAGGTCAGCAGTCAACGTGAGACCGAGCAGCCGCAGAGAGTTGCTCTCGAGAAGTTGAGCGTCAGACATTCTAATGGATGGCCGGGAAGTATCTCTGTGGTGATTAATAGAGAGCAGTTTCGTTTTTGAAGCATTAAAGTAATATAAAGAAAAGTGAACTGAAATAGAAGCCGGCTAATAATTCCAAATAAACCCTAAAGAAAGAAGAAGAAAGGAACTCATGGAATAACATATTTTTGTGGAAAGATTTCGTTAATAAATGGAAGAAGCGTTTTAAAAAACCGTCAAAACGGGCAAAAAAGACGCCAAGACGAGAAAAAAAAACCGCCAAAAGCGAGAAAAATGAATTAAAACAAACATATTCCAAGAATTGGTAGCAGGCGACCACTGAGATGGGAAAACGTACTTGATCAACAGAACCGGGGTAACATGGCGGAAAGAATCTGATTTTGAAAAATCAGAAATTGTTGAGGAAGCAAGAACAACACGGATAATTCATCTGAGAGCATTTGAAAAATGTATATCAGGAATGATATATATTATTTGTCAAACAGTTTGTGTTCATATAATTTAGGGTCCATCCATTTGCATGAAGCACAAAATCCCTTCTTGTTTGCGACTCACACAAATTATTCTCTATCAAGTAAATGCAGTCAGAATTGTCCTAGTTGATCAATTATATATATATATATATATATATATATATATATATATATATATATATATATATATATAACTACACTTGTCTCGAAAACCTTCGGTTTCTTGATTTGCTAATGGTGAAATCAATCTCGAAGGAAAAAAAAAGGTTTTAAAAAAAAAAGATCTATGAACGTCTGTCAAAAATAATCGTACAGCATACAGGTCCAAAGCCCAAAGAAAAAAAAACCCGATACGAGTAATCAACTAACTTAAAGTGCTCAATACAAAAGTAGAGCAGACCTAGTCAAACCTAGAGAGCCAGACAAACCTACCAAGGTTTCACCTAAGCGGATCGTCAGGGAAAGCTATATATATATAATTATTTATTCGAAAATTATAAAATAAAAATTTTATAAAATCACTACAAAAATAGCCATTTTGTTTCAACGCTTCTGGTGTCTTCTCAAGTGAAGCTGTTGAATGTAGAATAAAGGGTTTTAAATGGTTCAAATCAATCAAACATCCCTCGAAAGGTGAAACGATGTTATATAAGCTGGAATGACCAATCAAAATACAAGCATATGAGAATTAAAAACTTTACAACGGACTTTAAGGTTGTAATAATTATGTAATGTCTTAATGCTGGGGGTTAGACTAAAGTAGAATTCTTTCTAACTAATACGTATTAAATTATACTATAAAATTTAAATTAAAAATTTCCAATTTAAAATTTTAAATTCAATCTATATTAAGTTTAAAATTATTTAAAGAAGAAACTGTGGAAAAAATTCATATATTTTTATTTATTTTGTTTTTATTGAAATTAAGTTGGAATAAAAGTTAAGATCTAATGCTGCTCTAAGCTTCGTTACAACTTAGATACATTTGAATGGAAGATATGGGTTAGGGAGGATGAAATCTTGCAAAAGACAATACATACACAATCAGATTATAATACATAAACACGCAGACGTATTTAGATATATACACACGCAAACAAAAGCGACAAGAGAGGAAATATCTCTACGACCCTTAAAAAAACAAAAAAAAAACAACGACAACATACATATACAATGAAAGGTACACACAAGTGACCATACACACAGACACCACGACAAAGACACGTACATACACACACATATATTGAAAAAGACACGCCGATACACCCACCAAGAAATTTTCAAGTTTGAAAGTGTTATTAAACGAATTCTAACATATTATTAAAATATAAATTATACGGGCAAAGATACATAGATAAAAATGGTAAAATAGATAAAATTCAATATAGGCTGAACAGAATAACAAACATTAGGGAAATATATATATTAAGTATAGCTAAAATAACTAACGTGATTTCAGGCATTACTGTACATCAGTTGGCAAATGTTTTCCGTGAACTTCAAAATCGTATTACCCTTTGTATTGCTAATAATGGAGGACATGTGGAAACTTAAATAAAATTTCAATAAAACCTTAAAAAATATAGATTTATTTCTTTCTAATCCTTTTTATAAATTATTTGTATCGCAAATACAAATAAAGTTTTTAATGTGCTCACGAACTTTATGGACACGCTATATATATATATATATATATATATATATATATATATATATATATGTGTGTGTGTGTGTGTGTGTGAGCGCGCGTGCGTGCGTGTGTGTACATTTTCATATATATTATTTATATATTATATATGCGCGGTACTTATTGAAACCGCTCAATATCAGTGATAGAGCTAACATAAACACATATGAACAGTGTTCATATATGTCTATGCTTGTGTGAGCTGCAATGCGTGAACACCTGTGTGTATGTATGCGTACGTATGAGTGGCGTTCCGACGACAATTGTTCCTCCCACTACTACAAAAACAACGATATACGCAACCACAAACAAATTCAAAATATCAAAATTAATCAGTTTCACAGACAATCGCAAAGGGCGTGAGACCCAGGGTCACAAATTCACATCAACGCAACTATATATATATATATATATATATATATATATATATATATATATATATATATATATATATATATATATATATATGAATAAAAGAAAGAACACTAAAATATATAATCCGGTGTTCTTATTGATATTTGTGCTCAGTGTAAAGATGAAAGGGAACTAATGCTTTTAATTTAATTATATAATAAAATTTGAAGTTTTTAGCTTCATTTTTTGAAACATAGTTTTTACTGTGTCGCGAAAAATATTTTAAATCAGTTAATTTATAATATATATATATATATATATATATATATATATATATATATAACTAAG